TTTTTTTTCTAGACACAAGATAAAATTTTTCGGCAAGGATTTCCGCTCTTCTGTTCCCAGCAAGTTTCTTTTTGCATTGCAATCCGAGAATTTCAATGATCTGTTACGATGTTACTTGACAATGATTTTTTGTCACCCCTAAAGAAACTTACCAGTCAAATGGTAAACAGAATTGAAGCCAATTCCAAATCGACCAACTTTTAAAGGGTCCTCCTTCTTATTGCTATCCATTAATTTCTGCAAGTTTTCCCAGTCACTTTTCTCGAATAAAGCATTGTTCTGAGCATATAAAGCAGGCCCCTGGAACTGAGAAAGACTGGGTGCGACGAGCGAGTTCCCTCCGTAAAAGCCCTGACGCGAATCAAGGAGAAAGGACACTTTTGTGGCGCCTGCGTCATCTGCATTCTGAATAATTTCCTGCATGAAAAAAGACAATATGACCCAGGTTTCAGATAACGACAAGGTAAACAGGAAGGAAATGAATTTCATATTCCTCGATCTTTGTACTATCTTTTATTTATGTACCACAGCATTTATTTTATGTTGACTCGTTAGCACATGTTTCTCATGTGTGACCGCTTGTGTTGTAATGAAATTATCACCAACTCATTATTGTTGAATCGACAGTAAGAAGAGTTTTTGTCATTTTTCAGGAAAACAAAACAAAGGGAAACGAAACATGAACATTCACTTGCACTGATTTAAAAGGGTCCCATGTATCTCTGCTTGGAACATTAAATATGAATTATTTCACCCTTTTCTTAAAGTGTAGGCGGTCACAGACATATGACTGTTGTATTCTCCTTTCACAGGGGAAATAAGTAGCCTTCGGTCACGATTCACGTAAGGTTTCGGTTCCCCTCATTGTATTAATCAATTCGTCAATCGATCATTACTGCGGAAGACCATTCTTCCTCCTCACGCTATACTCAACGATTTTTAACACTCCATTACTACTGATGTTTTCCCAGTCCAGGGTTACCCTCTATTCATTCAGTCGATCGATAGAAACGAAGTGTTAAACTTGCTCTTTTAAACCGGGTTGACTGTACAAGTTTTTTCTTATCTGATGCAATGCTGAGAGAAGAATCATCATTCATACCTTTAAGATTTGTCCTCCATCTGGGTATCTTTCTAAGATACTTTTCAAAATGTGGGTCAGTGGAGGTCTCCTTTGACCATAGGACCTCCCTGTTATGGCAAAGAAACAAAACCGTTGTAAGAATTAGCAAAACGAAACTAGCCAGCTCAAGAGTATAACAAGGTAGTTTAGTGTTATCAACTGAGTTGATAACTTAAACTGGCCATCGTAAAGAGTTTAAAAGCGGATGTTTCGAGCGTTAGCCCTTCGTCAGAGCAATTTGAGGAATTGTGGGTTGTGTGTGTTTATATCCTGCTCAAGAGTAATTGCCTACAAACATAATATGACCTCTCAATCGAGCCAAATTGTAAACTGAATTCTTGAATCATCTTGTTATCTGTCTTTTATGTTCTTTCTTAAAATTCTTAACCTGACGTGGATGAAAAGGTTAAATTCTAACAGCATCCTGAAGTTTGTTTGTGTCTTAAGATCACGAACTTTCCTCTATTCATTAAAGTTCCTTCAACGGTACCGGTGGAGGATATGTACGTTCTAAAGTGAATTCGTTCAGAAACTCACTTCTTAGTCAAAATTTGAGTTCCTCGTGAGACTCAATATCTTAATGTTAATGTGAGTCAAAAAACAACCGTCAGCTTCGAAATGTTTCACATATTTCATGAGCAAAGACTCCCCATAACTGTAGGCTCACTCGGAAGTAGATAAAAAGTAGACCACAATCTCGTAAAACATCATTGGTTATTTGTCTCTGTTTTCCCAAACCTAACCTAGACTATTCCCATCTTTGATGTTTATAAGTGTTGCATGCTGTTGCCTGGTTAGAAATTTTGCTATTTAGTGAACCTAAAGCATTGAAGCCCATGTGCATGTTGATAAATTAAAGGTGCATTGCAGTAAAATTTCATCGCTTACCTTTAACAGTTTTGCGAGGCTGCGCTGCCATTGTGTCAATCAAATATCTTCGATGGCAGCTCAGGAAACTTCGTCGCTTTGATTTTTCACTGTGAAAGAGAAGGAAAAAATCCTTGCGCTTTAGATGGGCACTTTTTAAATCAGTTAATAAATCTATGGATAATCTTAATGTGCAACGAAATGTTTAAATAGAATGTAGGTCAGATGACTGACTCGTGCGTTTTTATCAAACTGTTCGGCCAGCCACGACTCACCTTGCATCTCTATAAATTTAGGAGAGGCCTTTACAGTTTAAACAACCGATTGGAGAATTAATTTCACATGTTTTGAAGATGTATTTATTGACTGGAATGATGGAAAGTTCTGGTTGTATCCTCCGCCCTGCTATTTCATTTGATGATCTATTACCTACTCAACAAAATATCTCTCCTGACTGGACGAATGCATACGGGATCATTCGAAATTGAAGCTTCCGAGGATCAATAACAAAGTATTTCGGAAAATATTAGTGACTTGTTTTGCCTGTCAAATTTTTGTATTGAAAAGCCAGTTCAAAGAAACACGAGCGTTTTGCAAACTGTTAAAAAGTGTTTCCAGCAGTGTTCCCTGTATAAGAGCGAAGAAGAAACTGAGTGAAAAAATCGCTCAGTGGTCATCGGTGGGCGTAAATATATTTCAAACAGCTAACTACTGCAAGCTATTGGCCATTCGGTGATTTTCATATGGAAAGAGATTGGTTTCAGTTCGTTGTGTTTCAGATGCTTCAGCGTTTGGATGAGTCTTTTCACTTCAAATCTTTGGTCCTGTTCGGTACGCTGCTTGAATGCAAAGTATCCCTTCATTTACTTCGACGACATTAATACTCTTATTGCTGGTGATGTTAAACTAGGTTTCTGTAGACAGTTAACGACGTTTGTTAAAGAAGGCTTAAGGCGGTTGATGACCAATCTTAACTCTAATCGTATATAGAGTGAGTTCGCTCATTTCGGTAACTAGCAATTTACACCCCCCAAAAATTATATTTGAAACAATACCAGTTTATCATATTTAAGTTTGCGTATTTCATTTACTGTAGATATCTTAAGAAGGTTTATCATGGAAATATTTTAAAGTCCTGACAAATAGAGTATATCCTGCTTCCAGAAATTTTCATTATGTACAGAAGTAAATTGGTTTCCGAATTTCTAAGACAGCCAACATCGTCAATCGCTATTGATTATAATTTTTCACGTATTACCAGCAATGAGAAAGGAATCTGTGAAATGCCTCTGATAAACGCTGACTTTGCCGATGGAGGATCCTTGATATTTGCGGGCTACTGCTTTCATTTAAAAAAGAAAAAAAAACAATTCCAAGCTGAGGTAGACATGTTCAGAGGGATCAGAGAATTTGACTCGTCAGCATCCACCGAAGGAGTGTAAACTTTCTCATAAGAGTCCCTAAGGCTCGGCCGAGAAATTTGAAAAGTCGAACGATTGCTTACTTCACTTAAAATATTTGCTGTTATCAGGCTGGATCGTCTCCCAGAAAGCAATTCCCTATTAATTTTGTATTCACGAAGTTTTTAACTTGTCTGCCCTGCTGCCCAACGATCGTGAACTAGGTCTAAAAATGGTTGAGTTGTGAAGCAACTAGATTTCTCCAAAGAGTTGAAGCGCGATAAATAAATAAATAAATAACACTTACCATAATTTTCCTCGCTTTTGCAAACATCCATCCCAATCAATACGAACTACAAGACTTTTTATCGCCGAAAAATTGATTCAATTTCCTCATGACTATGCTGCTCGATCTTCTCAGGGACCTATTATGTAAATAGGAGACGAATTCTGAGAAAACTGATAGTTCTCCGCCAATCATAGTGTACGGTACACTATTCGACTTTACGACCGGAAATAGAAAGTGATTCTTGGAACTTGGAATGGGCTTAGTCGAACAAAGAAAGCAAAGTTTGTTAAGATTGGGTGATTACTATGCTTAAATGTCTGTTTCATTGCATCCTAGAATATAAGAATAAGAACTACAATACATATGAGAAGTGAAACTGGCCTCCAATACGTCACAAACCCTCGTTAACAGAACTAAAAAAATCGAATTGTATCAAAAGATTCCAATTCACGCGTGAGTAAACATTGAATGAATGTAACATAAGATGGCAGATGTGACCATAGTTTGTGTAACGTAGCGTAATAAAATTATTATCAGCAGTCAATTGTTTTAATCAAAGTCGAGTGAAAATTACGTGTGACCAAGTACTAACAGGCTCACTTGTTCTCCACTGCATAAGAAATTCCAAAACAAGCTTAAAGCAATGTTTGTTTTTCGATTAAACAGACATTTTAGCATGATAATCGCCCAATCTTAATAAACATTGCTTTATTCGCTTGACTAAGCCCATTCCTAGAATCCATCACTGGGTTCCAAGAATCACTTTCGATTTCCGGTCGTGAAGTCGAATGGCGTACTACACACTATGATTGGCGGAGGACAGTCATTTTCTCAGAATTCGTCGGCTATTTACATAATGGGTTTCGGGGAATATCAAGCGGCGTAGTTAAGGAAATTGATTCAATTTTTCGGCGACAAATAGTGCTATAATTCGTAGTGGTTGGAATGGATGTTTGCTAAAGCAAGGAATATTAAGGTAAGTGTTATTTAATTGCGCTTAAACTCTAGCGAAATCTAGTTGCTTCACGACTCCACCAATTTTAGACCCAGTCCAAGATCGCAAGGCAGACAAGTTACAAGCTTCGTGAATAGAAAAGTAATAGGAATTTGCTTTCTGGGAAACGATCCAGTCATAACAGGAAATATTTTCGGTGAAGTAAACAATCGTAGGACTTTTTAAGTTTCTCGGCCGAGCTTTAGGACTCCTTTGAGGAAGTTTACACTTCCGTCCTTGGATGCTGACAAGTCAAACTCTGCGATCCCTCTGAACGTGTCTGCTAAAGCTTGGAATTGTAGATCTTTTAGCTATTTTTCACTAGTTTCTAGAACCAAAACCGGTTTTTTTTCGACTGATAGCAGTAGGGCCCGCAAATATCGAGGATCCTACATCGGCAAAGTCGGCGTTCATTGAAGGCATTTCACAGATTCCTTTCCCACTGCTGGTAATACGTTGAAAATTATAATCAAAAGCGATTGACAATGTTGGCTCTCTTGAAAGGTCGGAAACCAATTTACTACTGTATGCACTGAAAATTTCTAGTTGCATTATATACTCTATCTGTCGGGACGTGAAATTATTTCCGTGATCATCCTTAAGATATCTACAATGAATGAAATTTGCAGACTTAAATATGATAAACTGGTATCGTTTTACATATGACTGAAATGAGCGAACTCACTCTATATACGATTAGAATTTAGATTCTTCATGAACCGCCTTAAGCTTTCTTTAGCAAACGTCGTTAACTGTCTACAGAAACCTAGGTCAATATCACAAGCAATATGAGTATTAATGTCGTCGAAGTAAGTGAAGGGTTTCTTTGCATACAAGCAGCGTACGGATCGACGCACTCGGAGCTGGATATGACCGAAAATTTGAAATGAAAAGACCCATGCAAACGGTCAAGCATCTCAAACACAACCAACAGAAACCAATCTCTTTCCATATGGAAATCGCCGAATTGCTAAAAGCTTGCGGTAGTCAGCTGTTTGAAAAATATTTTCGCCCATCGATGACCACTGAGCGACGAAAAATTCTGAGACACAAATAGTTTATGCGATTTTTCCCTCCCTTTTCTTCTTCCCTCGTACACAGGGCACGTTGGTGGACACACTTTTCAACAGTTTACAAAACGCTTGTGTTTCTTTGAACTGGTTTTGAAAAACAAAAATTTGACAGGCGAAACAAGTCAAATATTTTCCGAAATACTTTGATATGGATCTTCGGAAGGATCCCATATACAATCATCCAATCAGAAGTATGACCTTTTGTTTAGTAGATTAACAAATAATCATATTGAATAGCCGGGCGAAGGATACAGCCAGAACATTCCACCATTCCAGTCAATAAATGCATCTTCAAAGCACATGAAATTAGTGTTTCAGTCGGTCGTTTAAACTGCAAAGGCTTCTCCTCCTTTTTAACGGAGATGTGAGGTGAGTCATAGCTGGCCGAACAGTTTTATAGAAACGCATGAGTCAGTCATCTGACCTACATTATATTCAAACATTTTTTTCCACATTAAGATTGTCGATAGATTTATTAACATTTAAAAAGTGCCCGTCTATAGCACAAGGTTTTTATTTTCGTCTCTATTACAG